CCCAGTAGCTGTTGAGATTTCACTCTGAAACAAAAATGTTTCTCATGATGCCTCTAGAGAAGATGAGCAACAAATGTACTGTATTTATTTATAATATAATATATGGTATTGTTTTGTCTTTTTTCCCATTAAATAAAATACATTTTCAAAGAAAACATAGCAATGTTCTCATCCCACAGTGACCCTATCTGTCCGAAACACCAAAGAAATCATTCAAAACCACATCAAAGCGGTGATCTGAATGTCTGCTCTTTAGCTTTGGCCTTGTATCACGTCTTTACTAAACTAAAGTGTCCCATTGTTCAAGCATATTTTATACAATATTTTTCACTGCCATGCTATGTTTAACTTCTAGATTATGGCTTATTGTTTGGATGACACAGGTAATGTCAAGTAATTCAGACAAAAACCTGAAAGATACTGCAGTTGTGCTGCTTTGCTCAATTTGTTTGACAGTGATTTCTGTAAGACACTGACTTGTGACTTGTGTGGGATTCTAGTCCAATTTTCATCCATGTGACATTATTTGTATCTAAGTGCTTATTGTTACCCTCAAAATGCATTAATATGCATAGACCGTAGACACGCTCTACAGCCCCACACTGGCTCATTTTCTCTCTTTCTTTAGCTTTGGTCTTGGGGGAGGGGATTCAATCTTTCAAGTCACAAGATCCAAATGAAGCCACAAGTAATTGGTGTTAATGTCAAAATTGAGTTGCAGGGAATTACTTGATTCTGTCAAATTGAGTAATCAAATTTGTGAGTTGACTCTGATACCAAGTCTAATCCATGTCATGTTTCATGAGTCCCTGAGTCTGCATGGAGGAATTACATTCACACATGGGAAAGCAGGTAGATCAAAGTGAGTTTCCATCAACTACAATTATGTAATTTCTCTGAGCAGGGTAGATTATAAGATCAAAAGACTGTGTTTTATAACTTTAGGTTCACCATGATATTTTATTAATTTAATACATGTTTTTTATCAGTTTCATGATTGTATTTGTTTCCTCTGGCAGCGCACATACTGTGTAATATTTTCGTGGGGGAAATAATAAGCAGACACACATCCTACATCATCATTTATTTAAAAATGTGTTGCTGTCAAGTTCAAGATGCACAAATCTTCACGTTTATGAATTATGCACACTTTGCCACTTCAGGCCAGTGTTAAAAAAAAACTGTTGCGTACAGCTTTTTATTTTAATAGGTGATATTATCATTCAGGTCTTCTGCGGTTCAAGATTTGCATAAAACAGGTGGTTGTAAAATTTAAACTCTTCATCTCCTGTTAACACAAGTCTCTGACACAGCCTCCACTGCCCCCACACACATAGAAACAAACTCTTCCTGCTCTCATCACCTTAAAGTCCCACTTTCACAACAGGAAAGCTAATTAAACCTGTGATCTGGAACAAGTCTTACAGTGAACACTTTTTTCTTTGCTTCAGAATGTGTCATATTTTATTAAGCTAAAGCTTTTCTCCTTTTGCTCTATTATGTTTTATACACTCATTTTTCACTGTCATGCTGTGTCTAACTTTTAGATTATGGCTTACTGTTTGGATGAACTTGAGTAATGAGTGTTAGAACACAGATAACAGTAGTCAGGTAATTTAACGATTTCAAGAAGACAGTGAAGTTCCATTTATGTGACATTGTTTCCTAAGTGATTATTGTTACTCTCAAAATGCATTAAAATGCATAGACTTATACTTTAGTCTTACAAATGTTTTCAGGAGAGCATGCCCCCAAACCCCCTTATTGGGACTAAACCCTCACTCTTCTGAAAACCTGGCTCTGGCCCAGTTTTCTTTCTTTCTTTTGATCCGCTCTCGCTCTCTCTTTTGAAATGGCAAAAGTCATGCAGCTCCATATCATTTCAAAAACAGTCCAAAAATGTATCAATCATTAAGACCCATTTTGAGAATTTTATTAAGAATTTGTTCATTAACAAGAGTCTGTACTGGGCACAGCAGTGCTTTGAGATAAATACTAATGTCAGCATCCTAACAAATGTTTATGATCTTTAGCGGGTACAATGTTTACCATGGTCTATTGGCCACTGCGCTCCTCCAACGAACGCCGCCTGGCTCTGCCATCCCTACACACAAAGCAATCTCAGTTGTTCTCATCTGTGACACCACAAAGGTGGAACAAGCTACCACACGCCATCAGAGCAGAGGCGCCCCTCTCTAACTTCAAGAAGCTCTTGAAAACTCATCTCTTCCAACAACCCTTTCTTATAACACCTCTGACTCCTAACCTCTAACCTGCACTTCCTGTGCTCTTCTTGTTCTGTCCCCTTACAATTCTCTGGTATTGATTGCACTATTTCGTCAACTCTTACTTCTTTCCCTAGCTATTTACCCCATTGATTCCATACGTGCAAGCTCTTAGTAGTATTTATTGCTGCTCTTACTAGTATCTATTGTCAGTCATCACACATCTGATATTAATTGAATTATATATATATATATATATATATAATACGAGCTGTCTGTTAACAACAATTCTCACACTAAAGCAAAACAGCTGCATGGCTAACAAACAAGCTAACAGCAGCTGCAGTTAGTCCCATATCCCTAGTAACTTATGTGTTACAAGACAAAAGGTCCATGTTGCAACTGCCCCTCTAGTGCTGTCACTGGCCCCAACAACAAGGCACCGCTCCAAATGGATTTTGAGTGGGGTTTTTCTGCTATTAACCGGCCAAATAAAACTTGGTCGACTATTAGGGGGCAGCCCGCTAAAGACACAGTACATCTGAGGCTGATGAGAATGTATTGGGACAAATGAAAACTTTGACCTCTTATTATCATCTACAAAGCCACACTGCAAGTGTGGCTCAAAGTTACTTAAAAAAATCAACAGCAGTAGATGTGGGTCCAAGGATGCTAAGAGGGGAATCAGCTGAGCTATGCTTGATTTGGTGATTGTTGGAACAGTGGAAAGAGTTTACAATGAGTTAACAAGGCAATCAGTTTGGTGAGCGAGAGAAACTTGAATTCAGAAGGTGTACGATTGTGTTTTTCTGTTTGATAAGGAAAATGGGAGATTAGAATAAGAATATTTCCTTACTTGACTTTTTGTGCATTTATTTAGTTGATTTATTAGACTTAAAAAGTCCCTTTTCACCTCTCGCACATTAGATATCTCTGCAACACAATACATAGATGTCTTTGACAGAACGTCACAACTGTTCCTTCTTCACATTCTGTAGTTTTAAACTAAATTTCTGGCCATATCTTAACAATGTACTTCAAAGGAGTTCTTACATGGTGCATAATCCTAAATTCATTTGTATTACGGTATTACATACACAATGCACAAAGGGTGGGAGAAACAGGGGGTTCACTAAGGGCCCACAGCTCATTTTTTATTAAAAATAAAAAGATGATACACACTGAACAGTGGCACTGGCAGTTTAAAAGACTACTGCTTTGCTAATCCTTCAGCCCTGTAAAAATAGGGAACATGCACAAGCATGGAAAACTCAATATATTAAATCAATATTTTATGTTGTGTGCTGAGTCACCTGCAGACGAAGAAGTACATTGGTGAGTGGAGATTCTTGTTCTTCACTATGGCGGTGATTACCAGGATGTTCTCCAGCAGGGAGATGATACCCAGGATTAGAAAGACCTGAGTATAATACAGTGTAACAGAGAAGAATGGAAGAGTGAACTACGTAGTCTAAAATGGGGTAAACTATGGCTCCCAATGTAAGCTTGTGGCCCCCCCCCAAAGGGTTACAAGATAAAACTGAGTGATTACAGGATGAATAACAAGACAGGGAAGAGGGAGGTAAAACACTACTATGCAAAATTTTTCAGGAAATTGTTTGTTTTTTCTCCAAGAAATACAGGAGCATTTTAAAACTACAATGAATCTATGTGAGAAATGGACTAGCGGAGTATAGTATTTCATTAAGAGAGCAAAAAAAGAGTATTAAAAAACAGAATAGTTTAGATTAACATTTAAAAACATAACAAAAGTTCATACCTCCACAGCGATGTGGACCTGCTCGCATGCTGCAGGTTTGGAAGTGCTCGTCTTGTCTGGTAGTAGCGGAGGGGGCAGGGTGTAGTTTTGGTGATAGTAGGAGTAAGCCCAGGTGGAGTTACCCAGAAGCACCTCCTTGTGATAGGAGGACTCATCAGACACATTCATCCCTGCTATGGTTTTGGTCCAGATCACTGTGGCTTTATTTTGGTTGCCATTTTTCAAGCAGGCTGCAAAGGAAAACAAATACAGTGATGATTGCCGGGTAATATGTAAATGATTGCCCAATCTTAAGTTTCTTTTTGATCATGTGACAAGACACAATACTCCAGATACCGGGTGAAACGCAAAATCTGACAAGTAGATTAGCAGAGCACAGGTGCAAGCTAAGCAGTCATGCTAGTCAAACATAAAAGTTGTTTCAAGAAGAGACGGGAGAGATGAGAACCGGAGGAGAGGGCCGCAAAGCTCCCCAATAAGATTGTTTTGGATTACTGAGGACATTGTCAAAGAATTCGCTCAATGCAGGCTCGTCTGATGCCTTTCAAATCGGTGATTTACTTTACTTTGCATTTTCAGTGCATTGCGCTGCATTTGGCTGCCGCGCTGTTTTGAAGGCTGTTATCATTTCGGAGACAGCTCGCCACTGAGTAGGCCTACCTGTTCAATTGTGTGGACGTGCTTGTGGGTATTAAACTGTGTGTGTGCGCTGTAGCTGGCCTGTTTTCAGAACATGGTGTTGTGTTATGAGCAGGCCACTTTTCTTTTTTATTCACCACAATGTCTTGCCTCTCTGTCGAAAAGGAATGTGGTTGTCGAGATTCAGGAGATTATTGTTCTGAAATTGCCCAAAAAATCTGTGTGGACACCTCCTGCACTCAGCTGTTTGTGGTGAGGTTTCAGGATTTTGACAATAACAGCACTGGCCGTGCTCCTTATAACGTTCTCTTTGACTTCTGTACTTTGCAAATACAAAAGTCTCGGAGACACAGTCCGACTCTAAAATCTGCAAAACACAGCAGCAGCAGCGTGTGTGTGTGTTGGAGAGAGACGCACACAAAGAGAACTGTTGAATTGAATGTGTTAATATGGAAAGAAATCAATTTAAGGAGCTTTAAATTAGGTATTTACTGCATCTAATCTTATCAGTTGTTAAACCCTGGCAAAACAAGGAAACAAGGCACATAAATTTGCCAATAAAGGGTTCCCTTCTAGACACGAACGCAGTGTGTGTGGGCCCATCAACAGCCTGCACTGGGGCCCATTGTTACAACCTTACGCCACTGCTGGTAGCTACATATTTACCATACAAACTTATCTAGTCTCCAGAGGTAGATCTTCTCATTTACTTGTCACCTAACACTTTAAGACTAGACAGGTCCTGTGTTACATACTCCTTTTACATTGATTTACAACAGCGTTATGTTTACACAAGAACCCATTTTATTTTTATTCAACCTTTATTTAACCAGGAAGTCCCTTGAGATTGAAATCTCTTTTCCGACTGAGACATGATAGAAATCAAACACAATCAAAACAAACAAACATCACTTATTAAAGAAAGGGACTAATCCAGGTCACATGAGGTTAGTTACATGGAATTTTACTATGGCTTTAAATTCATTTGGTGGGACTAGATCATTTTAATGTATTAAGACCAGGAAGCAAAGTGAGAGAATGCTTTTTTTCCCAACTCAGCCTGGTGGAACGGAGATGACAAAAGTGCTGGAATTTTACGTCAGGGGATTATATAAATTACCCAGCATGGCCTCGTAAACAAAATGTGTACAAATCAGTCATCCTAAAATTAGTCACACTGTTGAACTGGATTAGGTCCAAAGAGTTTTGTTACCAGCGGATCACTGGTCAGTTGTTTTCGTAAGGGCTGGGAAAATGAGAAATTTCTGGGGAAATCAGTCCCAGTCGTCAAAAGATGACATTCATAATATGTCAGTGAGATAAATTTAGTGTGACCAAACAAAATGGCACTGAAGGTTGTTTTGAACATTCCACTTTGGTTATGAAACAAAAGGGACGAGGAGCTTTGATGTTACACTCCCACGGCAAGTGAATGGGACACAAGAAAGCCTCAGTGTTAAGATCCTGTCCTCAGCTGATGAGATGTGATGAGAGCGGATCTGAGAAATGGAGCTTCAACTCTTCCCTGCAGGCAAGTGCTTCCCCTGTTTCTTCACTCGTGACCTGACTAATGGGCCCTCCAGTGATGTCAAATGACACTTTCTGAGTTGCTTATACATTTGCACAGAGGTAATATAAACTCTTCACTCTCTCACTCCAGAGTCATGTGGTGCATGAGGCAGTTACGAGGCGAGAGCTGCTGCCAAAAGCTGATAAAGAAAACGCCTAGATACTGAAGCAAACAAATTCATGACAAAATAAAACCCTTCAACCTAAGTTAAGCGATAAAAACTTTATTTTCTTTATTATGGCCACCATAACCCCTGTTTGGACTGCAGTCTGTCTCATTTCAGCAGAATGCTATTATCCAAATCCCATTACAATGTGACACTGTGAGCTTAGCGGATACAGTAATTAACCTTTGCTGCAGGGCTAAATGAAAAACCATGCCAGTTATGTTTGAGTAGTTAAGACATTTACTGCTGTCATTTATGAATACAACAATTGAAGGAAATATGAATGATAACAGCATAACTGGAATTTAATTTCTCCAGTACTCATTAAGAAAGCAGTTCTCTTAAGCTGTTCAAAGACAAGAAGCAATTACTGTGACTAAAATGTCTAATTTATGCTGGAATTATTCAATTTATTTATTTATTTTATTTAATTGCCTTTTAATTCTGCCAAAATTATTAAAATCCCAGTGGCCGGAGCAATGATATTTCAGTTATTTACTTTATACGGTAAATAATTATACAAGTCTTTTCAGAGCATATTAATTGTTTACATTTCTCACATCAGATTATTATCTATTAATATCAGTATCATATGATATTCTTCCCAAATATACAGAAGGTGTTAATAAGATCTCTCTAACCTGTTGCATGGCTGAAAATGTGTATATTTAATATCCAACGTGTTGATATTTCCCATATTGAATCCTGCATGAGAGCAGGAGAGAACATCTACCAAACCCACACACATTGATGGAATTATATGTAGGGAATAACTATTATTGGGAAAAATTTGGAGTTCTTTCTATAAAATAGAGGACATTTAAACAGGTGTTACATTGTGCTGTAATTCAGTCTGGATTAGATATCTAGATCTAGACATAGAGCACAAGTTCACAAGATGCTTTGTAAAAGTGAGACCAAACGGTTCTGTGTGGGTTCAGGGACAATCCAGATTGCTTTAATGATTAAAAGCGTCAACCTGAGGTACATGGGAGCTCCATGGTATGAGGGGGCCCTTGTGTACAGGGGTCTATGATAGTGATGTGTTGGTCCGATTAGGCCCCCTTCCCCATTCCTCCATCCCGCGCAAAAAGAAATGCATGACAATGATAAAATTACTCTTTTTAACAGACAGGCTCTCAGGTTCTTTCTTCATATGTGCAAAAATCATACCAATTTATTTGAAATATACAGTATACCCAAATGAAGAGCTGTTCGGGAGCCAAAGACCATTAATAACATGAACCTGAAGGTAACAGGGCACGTTAAGGATTCCTTGATCATTTCTTTTTTGATCCTGATTGGAGTCCTTTTATATTATTATTATTATTTTATTATATATATATATATATATATATTTTTTTTTTTATTATATATATCTTCTACTTAAAATACAGTGAGCCTACATTAAAATTAGGAGCAACTTCAATGTGACAGCTGGGCAGCTGCTTTTCCTATTATATTTTGTAAAGTGCCCCATAACAGTAGTTCTAGGGTTTCTTGTGTCCCAGCTTTTGCAACAGCTGGGAATACATGAATAGTGGAATAGCTGAGCTAATTTGAAAAAATAGAAATTATGATTTGGTTAAAGGAAAATATATATATACAACCCTGTGTCCTATAAATTATGTTTATATAAAACTAATTTGCAACAGCAAATGCATTTTGAGAGAAACTTAATGCCGCCTTACATTTTCTTTTAATAAAGAGGAAATGTTGTTAATTGATAAAAATGTTGATACAGAACAGAAAATAAAATGTTCATTCACATCTTGCAATATAATCTGCTCGAAGTGACTACAAGATTATTACATTTTTAAAGTTATGTTTAGACACTCGCAGCAGTCTGCAGAGCCATGATGCATTAATTAACATTTAACTGAAAACAAAAAGTCTTTCTTACCTTAACCAAACCTTTTGTTGCCTAAACCACAGACAGTCGCTTTCTACAGCCACCATCCACCCCGACCATCTCTCTGACTTTGGTGCCATATGTAAATGTAGCATTTCATTCAATCGAAAGTAAGGGGAAGTAATCGAGCTAGATTCTGTTCGCTCCATATTTGCTGCAATATCTATTATAATATTACAATTAATAGTGTTAATTAGCATCTACTTAAATTACTATTAAAGAGAACATATTGAACATTATGGGTGTTCACCCATACATTTTCATCTGACAGAGCTATAAGGAAAAAGGTCTGGGACATAAATAAAATACTATATGGCAGTCCCCATAGCATTTTATATAACATCTATGGAAAGAGAGGTTCAGTGTTGGCAGGAGGCTTTGGGGAGGTTTGAATCCCCTCCAGTAACATTTTGAAATCATTTTATTTTAAAATGGCTTAATGTGGAGTCTTTTTCTTGTGGTTTCAACAGTTGTAACAAAAGGACCTGGCAAATTGTGAAAGAGTCTTTTATTCTAAAATTGTCCTCCACGCCAATTACTTTCAGGATCAAGGCTCCGCAAGAAAACCTCTCCCGGATTTCCTGAATTCTTTTGTTTGAAATCTTGCCTCACACTGCAGAAGATAGTAGCTCTTAGTTTTAATGGAAACCTCAAACTACTTGAAAATCTATCAGCAGGCATTTTTCTGTTAGCTGAGGAGTCAACAGCCTGGGCCCAGGGTGACTCATTAATAAGAGAAATAAAAACCCGGAGGACCTTTCATCTGCTTACAATGCAAACATGCTTTCTGAAAATACTTCTTCATTCAATTCATGTAGAGGTTGTAGCCACCTGCAATACCCTGCTGTGATGTGTTCACCTGCAGGTATCTGTTCCCTGCAGCTCTGTTCTGACTTGTGTTGCCGTTTGAAGGTGTGAAGACAGAGCAAGTGATGTGTGGCTGATGTGATTCAAAGATGTAAGTCATTTTACTATGAAAATTATGCTCTCAGTAATGATCGGCACACAATTACGTACCTAACCACCCTGCACTCAATCGCTAGTCGCCCCCCTTCTGGTGTTCACCTGAAATTAAGCTGTAATATCGGTGAATGCGCGACTGATTGTGTGTTCATGTTAACACACCTGCTGCAATCACACCTCCCCTGAGAATTCAGCCGCTGTGATCCCGAGCTCCCTGTCTGCCTGTCTCCATCTCTTTATCATCTTGTCTTTGCCTCTGTGTTACGCCTCTCTCAGGCCCACTCCACCTTTTTGGACTCCCTCCCTCTCTGTGGCGCCAGTCCCAGGGGGTCGATTTTTCACTGGGATCTTGTGCTACTGTCACAGAACAAAATGCAAGACCCACTCTGCCTTGATCACAACATCAAAAGAGACATCTTGAAGCTTCTTTGTTGACAGCTAATAATCGTCCTACTTCAAAATCCCAGTGTGGATGCACACCACCCATAGTGTTAACTAAAAAGATGATTTTTAGAGCCTCTCTGTCGACATGTGAGACCAAATAAAGCTTATTTGGATGTAAGAGCTTATATAAGCACTCGCTCAGCCCACACATGCAGACTTTATGTTACTGTGAATGGAAAGGCTCACATCGTGGGATAAAACAGAATACATGAACGGCTATAAAAATTCTCAGCATTTTTTGTGTGTGTGTGTGTGTGGGGGGGGGGGTTAGGGTTTTTTCAGTATTCATTCGGGAAATGAAATCAGTGTTTTCTGAAGTGGAAGATTGTGTAAGATGTGTTCCACAGTCTTTATTATTCATTCAGAGAGCAGGACAACATTAATTATGCACAGTGCAACAAGTATAATTAAATCTAATCACATGGAGATGGTAATCACAACAAAACAACAACCTGAGAGCCTGCATTGTTTGCACATGTACCACAATACAGTGTATAAAAGGAAATGACGTAACTGCTGTATATTTACCCAACAAACAGGCTGGTTTATAGCACAGTCAAATTCTGGAGCTAAAATTAAACATTGTATTATATTACATTATAGTATTAACACTGCAATGCTCTCCCTTCTGGTCTAGCTATAAATAAGCAGCAGATCATTCAGAATGCAGCAGCACGTGTACTGAGTAAGTCCAGAGGGAGAGCACACATCTCACCTGTCCTAACATTGGTTGGCACTGGCCTTTTAGTTGTTCCCTGGGTGAGGACAAAGAACTACGGGGAGGCGGCATTTAGAGCCTATGGTCCTCGCCTCTGGAACCGCCTGCCAGAGTTGCTGAGGGGGAACCCAATCTGTAAACACCTTTTTTAGTTTAGTTCATTTTATTTTAATATCCATTGGTCTCGCTCTTCTAACATGTTTCTTATTTACTATATTATCATTTCCTTATGTTACCATTTATTTTTACCGTGTTATTATTTCATTGTGTTGTTGAACCACTGTGTTCACCAACAGCACCAAGTGCCCCTTTTCATGATTTTGACATGACTGCTACTTTTAAGTCCCAAAACTGACTGTGTGTACTATAATATTATCAGACAAATCGAAAATATAAAAACTTTTACTTCCAATCATTTAAGTCTGTTTAGCTGGAAAGAGTTTTTCTTAACCACCAATTATTTGCTTAAGTTAAATTAAAACTTTATTGATTTAATTGTCCTATTAAACTTTTCCCCCATGTAACATTTCTCATTTTCCTCACCACATTTTCAGTTTTCCTGTTTTTTATATGATAATAATAAGAAATATAATACTGTAATAACAGCTAAAGCACTTTAGCCAGGAAGCTAATGCTATAAAAGGAAGCTAGTTAACTTAGACCTTTTTAGTTTACCATCCAAGTCTTATTTCCAGTGTGGTCCTGTATGACGATGAAGAGACAAGCACTGGAAATTTAAAATAAAGTAATGAAGGCATATGGTGTCAAGTAAGTAGCGTGAGCTAGATAATGTTGTTAACTTGCCGGATAAAAAGCTTTTGCTGCTGTTACAGGAGTGATGCTACAACAATAGTATATGGATTATTAACGCTGTTTTATGTACATTCATTAGCTTGTGTAGTTTAATAGAGAATGTTAGTGGTAGCAAGCTGAAAAGGCTGGTTGGCCATGTTCTAAGCTATTAATATTGTCATGTGAGCTTGCCAGCCACACTGTGCTCTTGATTTCTTGTGTTACACACATATACAGGTTTTAATTTATTGATCAACTGATTGGTGCAAAAGTATAAATTCTTTTTTTACCAATTGAGTATAAATCTTTAAATTGTAAAGGACAGTCGTGCAGAATGCGTTCGTCCGTCAGGATTTGAAAGAATTAGAGAGCTGCTCCTGCTGAGCCTCGTCTCGCTCTGATCTGCGTGGACAGCACCAGCGGAGGCTCAGCCACCAAAACAAACTGAGCACAGCAATCAGATCTCAATCTGCAGCTGATCTCATGATGTGACTGACTACAATGACACGGACAGAAGCAAAACATGGTGGTCATGAGCACTTCTTTGAAGGTTGCCATGGCTACACTATCACAAACATAGTGTTAAATGTCATTTTTTCTCCCAGACATCCCTGAAAAATAACAGCATTATCACCATTCAAGTCATGATCAAGCTTTTTTTGGCTTATGGTCGCAGCGAGTCTAATGGTAATCACCAGATGCACTACGAAGATTATTTAAATGTGCAAAACAGTTGGCAATATTTACCAGCCTATAATATTGTTAGACATATGTTGGTGATAATCAACAGGAGATTTAAACAGAAAAATATAATGCAATCATGCGTGCAACAGAAATGCTTTTATTATCTTTAATTCATCTAATCATTGATTCCCATATCATATACACCCAATCATTTGCATGTACTGTAGTTATATTAAGATCACATTCATTCTTTTTGACATGGGTGTGTCCCTGAGACAGGCGGACACGGTGCAGTTTAAAGACAAAGGTATTACACAGGAACAATTCTGTTTCAACTGTGGTACTGAAATTTCTTAAATTAAACAGCTTCAATGCCACAGCATAAAAAATAAAAATAGTAAATCTAGCAGTGATTATTATATATAGAAATGTCCACGTTTCCACAGAAATATAACAAAATATGAGAATAGGAGTTCACAATATGGATATGATTAATGCAATCTTATATCACGCTACATGATATGGCATGGATTTAAATATCTGACACAGTAAGGTACTTCATCACATTTATGCAAAACAATTTGAAAAAACATTCAAAGATTGTATTGTCGTAAAGTAGGCCTGCTCATTTACTTTTCACCATAGCTTAAAATTACCTACTATATTCAGAGATGTTGAAGAGACAGTTACCTCGGTACAAACTGCACATAAAAATATTTGTCAGTTAACAAATTTACATTGATTCCCAATGTACATCATTATATCACCCACCCCTGCTAGGGACCCACATCGAGAACCGATGCCGGTGCATGCATGTTCTATGGACCAGCAGTTTTCCAATTATGTTCTGTCAAAGCCATCCGAGCCTGTTGAGTCACCATTTACATGAGCTTTAATAAAATGGCTTTCACACACACACCTCTCCCTCTGCAGTTGTCAACAAGAACCATACAGAGGAGATGACGTGAACTTGTCGCTATACAAACCAAATAATAGAACAGAAAATAACTCTTCACTTTTTTTGGAGATGTGTTTATCTGGAACCAGATTCAGGTCACTCTGTAGAAGGGCAGCTCTTTGTCTCACACTGCTCACTGCTGCTGCTTTGCCACTGTGGTGACTAATCTTTGTGAGGAAATGCTATCTTCTCCAGACAATTATTGCAGCTACTATGGGAATGAACAAACAGAGCTTTGCCTGCAGAGTGAGGAGGGTCTATTAAGTTTTCTTAATGCTAATAAATCAGTCAGATCTCCCAGGTTTCACTGAGTGTTGCCAATTTGCTCATTGTGCCACACAGTGTGACCAATGTGCTGACATAAAATATGCTTTAACTGCCACCAGCTAACAGGCAGTGCTTTGCTGGAATACACCTTCTGTACAGTATTTTTCCACCATATATTGGATGAGTGATGTGTAATTCTGATTAATCCAGGGCTGTAGTAATTTCTGCTAAAGTGAATGCACATCTGGCAGGATGCCATGAGACTGTGCAGCATCTGGACCTCTCTGTGTTTGTGTTTCCATAGGAAGTAGCAAAGCAGCTCAAAGGGAGGTTCTATTTAAATGAGCCTTTATCTGCGCTGTGAAATCAATCCTGCACATTTTACCACAAGTGATAACAGAATTAATGCATATCACCACTGTGGCGTTATTTCTCAACAAACATCAGCTGTTGACCAAGTCGCTTGTTTCTGTCAGTTGTTTGTTTTGAAAGCACATGCTGCACAGCTTTTAGTCCATTAAAGACCAAACTATGACCAAACAGTTTTATACATCATGTGAACTGAATATGATGATATGAAACTATTGGTGGTTGATGATGACATATAATAATGGTCAACCAGATGCCCCCAACAAAAAGTGGAAAATACCATCCAAATATCACACACATAAAAAACCTGCAGCTGCAACATGGTCAGTCATGTAACTCTCAAAATCCTGTAAATTCATTGCAAACTCTGCACTTAACACAACAGACAAACATGGAATGTCCACATAAAATATAGTGACACCTCAGAGGACAAAATATTAACGTATGTATGATGATGTCACCATTAAATCACACACACTTGAGGTCCTCAAGTCTTGCCAATGTAATACCAGCTATTCTATAAGTGAGAGTTTTGACAACATGAATGTAAAAATGCAAAGACCACCAAGACGGTGGTGGCAAAAATTTGTCTGTTATGAGTAGGGAGACAGAGAAAATGAATGACTCACCTCACACAGGAGCTGTGACTCAAATCCTTCCCACAAGTGGCTCAGATGGACTGGATGGTGCCTCTGTGGAGCATCAAAGCAGTGGATTTACGCATCGTGAGAGTGGAGATGCTGAGCTGTGAGAGAGAGAGAGCCTGAGAGAAAGGGAGAGAGACAGAGCGAGAGAGACCGAGAGGGGAGAGAGAGGGAGAGAGGAACTCCCCCTCCAGATCTGACAGACTGGACACAACATGCAGCAACTACCATCTCCCTCACAGTGGGCTGAAGAAAGCAGCAGTCAAAAATGCAGAGCTTCCTCCATGTTGAAAAGATTGTCTGTGAGGCGCTCCATCTTACAAGAAATTAGCCCTTAGATGTGACTTTGTGCAGAATTTCAATCTACAGAACAGCGAAAAATATGACCAGCAGCAAGAGGAAACGTTTTGATACAACTTGGTGTTTTAGTTGGATAAACTCAGAAACACCAACAATTCCATATTAATACATTTGGTTCAACACACTGCAGCTACATAACTGATTTTTGAAAATATTTTTGCAGCATTATCACAGGTATCAAAGGCTGATTTGGAAGGGAGTAAATAAACAAAAACTACTGCTACTTTCAAAAAAGTTACTGAAAAAAGTACAACTGCATGTTGTTAAGAAGTCAAACTAAAACGGTGTGTATGAGTTCATATTGTAGCATAACCTCCCAGCATTTCATGGAGCAACAGACTCGTGGACATACATCTAAGTTGAATTTCATGTTCTTGCATTGTTATTGTGTTCTACATTATGTTCTACAATGTTTCCTCTCTCGCCACTGTTGGTATACAATGAGTTAACTATTAAAAGGCCAGCACAACATTCTCTTTATTTTATCAACAGTGAATCTGGTTAGATCATGAGTGATATTGTGTGCACAATTGGTGACATGCCCACAATGTGAAAGCACATAGTGCCGTAATTCAGGTGCAAGGATAGAGTGGCTATTATTCTGAGCATTGGTGGCAGAAACCTTGGCCCATATCCACAGTCAGGATATTAAACCTCAAATTATTTTTGATGAGCAGGCCAGAATAAACCATGCATGGTAGTGAATTACAGCTCTTTGAAGGGAGCTGGATCTCTTGGCACTGTTCTTTTACAAGAGTAGGATCTTTTGGCTCCCAAACGTCTCTTCATTTAGCACCAATTATAATAATAATAATCCTTATTTGTAGAGCACTTTTCAAAAACAAGTTACAAAGTGCTTTAACAAGTGTAAAGAATAATACAAAAAAGATAAGAGCATGAAAATTTAATATAAAATTAGTAAAATACAATAAAATAAAAGGGATAAAATAAAGTCAAATAAGATCGGGAAAGGCTCTCCTATAAAAGTGTTTTAAGAAGGGACTTAAAAGAGTTCACTGACTCAGCCGACCTGATTTCCTCGGGCAGGCTGTTCCAGAGCCTCGGGGCCCTGACAGCAAACGCTCTGTCCCCTTTAGTTTTCAGTCGAGACTCTGGAACAGACAACAGACCTCTACCCGAGGATCTCAAGGTACGTGCTGGTGTGTATGGGACTAAAAGGTCAGAAATATAACAAGGCGAGAGGCCATGAAGAGCTTTAAAAGTGATCAATAGAATTTTAAAGTCAATTCTAAAACATACTGGGAGCCAGTGTAATGAAGCTAAAATAGGAGTAATGTGGTCATATTTCTTTGTTCTGGTTAAAGCCTGGCAGCTGAGTTCTGGACAGTCTGGAGTCGATCAATAGATTTTTTGGTTAAACAGGTGAAAAGGCTGTTGCAATAATCCAGGCGTGATGAGATGAAGGCGTGTAAAATGGTCTCGGTGTCCTTAAAAGTTAACATAGATCGAATTTTTGCTATATTTCTAAGTTGATAAAAACATGATTGAACAAGCTTTGTGGTGTGCTGCTCGAAATTTAAATTACTATCAAACCAAACACCAAGGTTCTTTGCCACAGGCTTAATGTGATTTACTAGGGAACCAGCAGATGGCAGTATTTGATTTGCCATCTGCTGGGACCCGATGACCAAGATTTCTGTTTTGTCTGAGTTCAGCTGGAGGAAATTATTGACATCCATTTTTTAACTTCACAAAGGCAGTTGTTAAGTGAACTCAGCATTCCAGGGTCTGTGGATCTGACGGGCAAGTATATTTGTGTGTCATCAGCATAAATATGAAAAGAAATGCCATGTTTATGGATAATATGTCCAAGGGGAAGCAGATACAAGGAAAACAAAATGGGTCCTAAGACCGACCCCTGAGGCACACCATATTTAACTGGACAGAATGAAGAGACATAGTTGTTTACAGACACGCAAAACTTCCTATTTGAATTAGTGATGTTCTTATTTGTTTCAAGAAATAAACATGCCAGATTCTTAATCTGCAATACAATAACAATTGTAATAAACAATATTCTGTCATACTGATGGTTAAAAAGTGTGATATGTCAAGAATAACTATCTTAGTTATAAAGTATGGTTGATTAATACGTACACAACTCCACACAGACACATAAAGTATATTTTATTAAATAGGTATGAAACAGCAGCTATGTTGGTAACAAATGATCTAATCATTGCCTTGCACATAAAGATGTTTGTTGATCTGTCCAAGGAATTTGACTTGGTGGACCATGAGCTGCTGTTAGGCAGACTCAGTGACGACATGGCTGTAGAGATGTTCAGGAACTACTTCACAGAAAGATTCAAGTGTGTATACACAGATGGTCACAAGATTTATGGAGATCTTTAAAGGAGTCCCCCCTAGGTTCAATTTAAGCCCCTGTCTTGTTTTCTGTGTTTATAAATAACATTGGGAAGTGCATATTTATGCAGATGATATAATCTAATGAATAATATAATATAGTCTAATGAGTTGCCTCTTCTCTGAGCCAGGCTTTTGATCCAGACTGCTTTTCATTGTATGGTCTAAAGATGGTTCTCAATGCTAAGAAAACTAAACTCATGATCTTTCCCAGAGCTCGCTTCCAGATCTCAGATAATGTTGGCATTTGTATCTTTGGAGGGGACTTAATTGAAAGAGTATCTTCCTTCAAGTCCGTGGGTATTTGGGCCGCTTTTAGAGCATATTGAGAACCTAGTGAAGAAACTGAAGGTTAGGCTGGGGTTTTAGCCTGCCTTAATGTAACTTAATGTAATTAGGAAACTCTTGTACAGGCTACCTTCGTAAATGTTCTTGACTATGGCGACATGATTTACATGTATGTTGCCTTCTCTGTACTTCACTGCCTAGACTGTGTGTGTCACAGTAATCAACGTTTTGTATCCACCTCATTTTCTCATACACATACCTGTGCACTTTATGATCTGGTCTCCTGTTTTATTTATACAGATAGACACATGTAAGAAACTGAAGAGTGCAATTGCTATTCCTAACCAGGATTTTGCATTATGTGTCTGTTGTCACATGTCTGTTTTTGAATATATTTGATCATTTTTGTAACCTCATAATAGTGTTGGCCAGGTCTCCCTCAATGAAAGATATTTTAATCTCGAGGGACTTCCTAATTAAATAAAGGCTAAATAAAAATATATGTGGTCTAAAGCTTTCCCATCTCTAGTAAAATGATTTGCTTTGACTTTTTAAAAATCTGTTGGAGTTAGATGAATGTAATCATGTTGATTCAACTTGAAAACATTTTGAGGGAATAATTAATTTATTTTAATTTGTCAGTGTACCTGGTCAGCAATCATGTTTTTAACATATGATCTAAAATGATCTTAAGATAAGTCCTTAGTATGACCCTACTACCTACAACAATAAAAGTCCTTCTTATAGAAAATTACTGATTTAATATGACGTGTGAGCACCCATAATAGAAAGGTGTTTTTTTATCCATTTTTTTGTCCATAGAAGAGCCTAATTCCCATGATGCAATTTGATTGCATCTTTTCATTCATCCTTTTATCTAACAACCCTGTTTATCAGACTCCACACCTCCAGTTTGTAACAACTGTAATGACATCACTATGACATCTCTCAGGTTATTTTTGTACGACTTGACAAAGCTCCTCGACAGCCACTGAGGATGCAGCTGTTTTCACAGACTGTGTGGTTTTCCTCGGGACTAGTAAACTAACTTTGATGTGCAAAACAGGTGGCATGCCTCGTGACAGTGTTTTGTTCTATCTTAGAGCACTTTACATAACCGGCATTGCTGTCATGTTTTGGTTGGCTGTTGCTTTGTTTTTCTTTGGCTTCCTAATGAGCCTTTGCATGATCAACAGGAAAAGGAAATATCCCACCCTCAGTATAACCAAGGTGGTGAAACTACACTATATGTTCCTTATCTAAATACACAATATGCCAGACGTGTTCAGTCTTTGGATGGTGGAACAATGTGAACCAACTCTAAACATTTTGTATTTCACAGCCGATAACAGCTTCACTCACCTGCTAAATGAAAATACCAGATCATCGCCTGCTGGTACAATCCGTACCTAAATTCCAGGGAAGTATATATACAATACTGTGCGAAAGTTTAAGCTGCGGAAAAAGTGCTGTTATGTAAGAATGCTTTCAATAATAGACACGTTAATATACTATATTTATCAATTAACAAAATGCAAAGTGGGTGAAGAAAGAAAAATCTAAATCAATATCTGGTGTGACCACCCCCTGCCGTCAAAACAGCATCAATTCTTCTAGGTACACTTGCACATAGTTTTTGAAGGAACTTGGCAGGTAGGTCGGCTCAGACATCTTTGAGAACTCCCCACAGTTCTTCTGTGGATTTAAGCAGCCTCAGGTTTCAGTGTTTTGTGCTATAAACTAATTAACCAACAAACTGGCAGTTCAAAGTAATGTCTCTGAAGCAATTGGCTTGATTGTGTCTTTTTTTACCCTCCACATCTACCAAACAAGCTGCTTGTTTTTTATCACCTACATGCAGCAAAGGAGGCTTTAAATATAAGCACAAAGACGCAAGGACATTACAAGTCTGCACAAATACAGTTCTATTCCAGAGAGTCACAACACAATTTTATTTCTTGTGCATAATTCTCTAACCTTTTTTCTAAATGTTTTTCTCTCTTTGCTTGTTTATGTGTTTTTTCGTTTGTTTGTTCTAAATCAAACAGTTCCTTCAGAAGCTCAATAC